AGATCCAGTGTCCTCTTCTGGTGTGCAGGCATACATGCAGGCAAAATACTGTATACATAATAAATAAAAACAAACAAATTATTAAATCTTTTTTTAAAAAATCGTTGAACTGGTCATTATGGTGCACACTTATAATCTCAGCACCCGAGAGATTAAGACAGGAGGGCTGGCCTGAGTGTAAGGCCAGCTGAAAGACACAGCAAGACACAATGGGAAAAACACTTTAACCATAAGGATGGACTTTGAGGTAATGTTTGTGATAATAATTGAGGTAAGGCCAAACAATGGTTTAGCTAACCCATGGCGCAACTTTATTAAGCGATCTTTAGATGCTAATTAAATACATGGCAATATGAAAGGGCGTGCTACACTAGGAGAGAAAAATACAATATAAATCTTTATTTCTTTATTTTGGTTTTTTGAGGCACAGTTTCTCTGTGTAGTCCTGGCTGTCCTGGAACTCACTGTGTAGACCAGGCTGTCCTCGAATTCAATAGCTCCACCTGCCTCTGCCTCCCGAGTGCTGGGATAAAGGGCATGTGCCACCACCACCTGGCACCAAAATACAAGTTTTTAAAAATTTCAACTTATGCATGTCTTGGAGACAGCACCTTGAGGTGGGAATGCTAGCTCCTAGAATGCCAGTTCCTGGAGTGGGTTCTCCAGAGCCAGTTGTTACACAAGCCTGAACTTAGCAGCCCAGTTCTTTCTGCTTCTTATTCTCTATATGATTTATTTCTCCTCACATGTTATTGCCATTTGCCAGGGCCAGCGTTTTGTTTTGTGGTGTTTGTTTCCTTCCTAAGAAGGCTGGCTCAGACATTTCACTGCAATTGATTAATATAAGGAGACTCTGATTTTGCCGGATACCAGTTGGAGATAATAGCAAATAGTACCTCCCAGAACATGTCCCTTAGATCTGGGCAGACTACACAGTGGACTGTGTATAGATTGTCATAACAGTATGAATCCCTCTTCATCCAACAAGTCTAAGCATCTGATCTTGACTTTGGGGACTTTCATATTTTAAAAAAATTCTGTGAAGTAATGACAGCTTTATTTGCCTTTTAAATAGTAGGTGTCTCTTTTATGTTTATGTGCATTGGTGTTTTGCCTGCATGTATGTCTGTGTGAGGGTGTCAGAAGCCCTGGAACTGGAGTTACAGACAGTTGTGAGCTGCCATGTGGGTGCTGGGAATTGAACCTAGGTCCTCTGGAAGAGAAGTCAGTGCTCTTAACCACAGAGCCATCTCTCCAGCCCCTAGCAGGTGTCTCTTAATCAGGAGGAAGATAAAATAGACTAAAAACAGTTGTAATTCAAAAGCACTTCCCTCTTTCCCAAGGGTCATTATTTTCAGCTCTCTGGTTTCTGATTCCCATCCAAATTCTTTTTTGTCCCAGCCCCCCTTCTGTAGTGGGGAGTGCACGTATAGACACTGGGCACTGGACAAATGCCTCAAGATTCTGGAGGTCTTTCAAACCCAGATCTCTGCCTGACCCCAATCCTTGGGTCCCTTAGTCTCAGCAAGCATTACCTTAAGATCCATCTTTATGGTGAAAGTGTTTTTCCCATTGTGTCTTGCTGTGCATTCCAGCTAGTCTTACACTCAAGCCAGGCCTTCTGTCTTAGTCTCATGAGTGCTGAGATTACAAGTGTGTACCAAAATGCCCAGCTTGTCCAACCATTTTTTTGTTTTAAATTAAACAATGAGTTCTACAGTAGAGGAAACTCAGGGCTAATTCTGTGTTTAAGAAAAGAGCATACAAGTTGTTAATTCATCTGTTCAATCCTTCCTCCAGGCACTTGTATACTTACAAGACTGAAATCATTGGGTGGGGAGTGGGGACTCCTGCTTCCCACTGTCATTCAAGCTAAGGGAGGTGCTCCTCACAGCACTGACCTTTGGAATGGTGAAACACCTGTTTCTCAGCTTTGGACATGAGGCAGAAGTCGGCTAGGGTTTAACAGAGAACATAAAGAAGTATAGGGCTGGAGAGATGGCTTAGCAGTTGAGAGTATGTTCTTGCAAAGGAGGACCTAGTTTCAGATAGCCTTCTTCTAGCACCAAGGTCTCCTGCACAGACATGTTGCACATAAGCCCATACAGACAAACATAAACTTAAAAATAATATTTTGAAGTTCAAGAGGACAAGTTTTTCAGTCAGAAAGTTAAGGAAAAATGTCTTTTTTCTCAACAGGTAAACATTCATAATTCTGTTTGCACTGGAGCCCTTCCAGTACATTAATAAAAAACCTTTCCAGACACTGGCGCAGTGTGAGCCAGGGAACAACGAATAAAGGTTGACTTTTAACACTAACTTCCGGTCTTGGAAGTTCCGTACTTGACCACAGCCTTTGACATGGAGAATTTGTCCTCTGTGCCCTTGTGAAATGCACACAAGTGTGATAGGGTGGGAAGGAACCGAAGGGGTGGGTCTGGAGCTGTCCAGCATCCTAGAAGAGCACCTCCAGCCCCTGCCCCGCCCCCGCGGTCCTGAGTCACAAAGGCGGTTGCCAGGTGCCGGGTGGGAAAAAGATGCGGCCACTACTCTGGAGCGTGCAATCCGTGTGGAGTTCAGTAGGTGAGCTCCCGGCCCGGATGGTGATGGTGGGTCCGGGCCCGGGCTCCCACCGCTGTCCTGGCCTCAGGCAGGGCCGTGTGGCTCCCGCTTCGGGGGAGGGACTTGCAGGGAGACAAACCTGTTCTCCAAGCACTCCAGCTGCTCGGGATCTTTTCACAGTCCCCAAGGACTTCAGGGGCACTTTGGCGCTGCCTTCCCCTTTCCCAGGTGGGGAAATTGAGGATCTGGGTTCCTCAGAAGGAAGGCGCCTATAAAAAGGAAGTCTTTTGGACAGGAGAATCAGGTGTTTCCCATGTGGGGCTAGTACAGCAACTTGTTCAGACACCCTGCATCCACCTTGCCATGGTGGTATACCAGAAGGCCTCCTCTTGGATGTTTTTTGTCTTTTTTTTTTTTTTTTTTTTTCCAGACAGGATCTTACCTTATGTAGCCTAGTCCATTAATGAACTCATAGCAATCCTCCTGCTTCAGCCTCTCAAGTGTTGAGATGACCAGCACTGGCAATGTGCTCTTAAATTCAAGATACCCAGCACTGGAAGCCTTTCAGCTTGGAACAGATAGCTGCCCTTTGGTGTCAGTTTCTCATCCTAAGGCAGCCCAGATATTTGAAACGTAACAACTTGCAAGGGCACTGCATAGGGGAGAAACGCTATCAACTGGGGGAAATCCGCAAATTCCCTTTGTCCTAATCACTCCAAAGGGCACTTTTGGAATGTTTCCAGCTGTTTTTTGTTTTTGATTTTGTTGTTGTTGTTTTGTTTTTTTTTGAGACAGGGTTTCTCTATGTAACAGCCCTGGCTGTCCTGGAACTCTCTCTGTAGACCAGACCGGTCTGGAACTCACAGGGATCCTCCTGCCTCTGCCTCCTGAGTGCTGGGATTAAAGGCATGTGCCACCACCGCCCGCCTTGATTTTTTAATTTTATTTATTTAATTTTTTGGTTTTTTGAGACAGGGCTTCTCACCTGCAGGACCCAGTGATTCAATGGGACCTGTAATGACCTTTCACAGAAGAGGAAGGTGCTGAAAAAATGATAGTTCCTCCTGAATTCAGGAGGCACTGTCAATTTGGAAGCAGAATGACAGAAAATCAAAATTTTACTTGGAATAAATTTTGAGTTAATATCCTCCCAGCACTTCCTCTTGTGGTATTCAAGGTATTATCCAGTACCTTACACATGAAAATATATATACCCATATGTATGGGGGAGGGGAATGAACAAATTTTAAAGGCTGGCCCTTGAAAACTCTCCTTCACAGGATGTACCTCTTCCAAGGTGCTGTATGAGATCAAACCCAGCGTTCTGTAATGATCTCTTGATCAGAATGCTTTTAGGGCCAAGAGGAGACTGTCCCAGCAATATTTTTGTTTTGGGGTTGGGTTTTTCTGCCATTGTCGTCTTTTTATTTTTATTTTTTCAATTTTTTTGAAGACAGGGTCTGCTTATGTAGCCCCAGCTGTCTTGGAATCACTATATAGACCAGGCTGTCCTTGAGTTCACAGATCACCTGCCTCTGCCTTCTGAAGTGATGGGATTTTTTTTTCAAAGATTTATATGTTTACATCTGTACGTTCAGGTACTGGTAGAAAACAGAAGATCCCCCTGTTAGATCCCCTGGAGCTGTAGTTACAGGGAGCTGTAAGATGCCTGACATGGGAGCTGAGAACCACACTCAGGTCCCCTGAGCAAGTAGCAAGTACTCTGAACTGTTGAACCATCTCTCCAGTACTTTCCCCCCCACTCACTACGTATGTAGCTCTGGCTAGCCTGGAACTCACTATGTAAACAGTCTGGCCACCTACTTGTGATGACCCCCCCCCCCACCTCTACCTTCCAAGCATTAAGATTATAGTAAGGCATAAGCCACCAAGCCAGGTACTGTTTTTCTCGGATGACTCCATAAGGAAGAGTGAAAACGGGAGATTCCTAAAAGCCACACTGTAAGTAGTCTGCAAACTGTGAGGTGCAACAGAACCTTTGAAGGGTTTACATACATGTAAACACATTTCTAATTCAGTAGGTCTGAGACGGGGCCCCAAGAGCTTGCATTTCTACCAAATCCATAATGAAGTTAAAACTGCTAGTTTAAGGGTTATACCAAGGACAAATGCGTGTAAGACATGGGCTGAGTTTCCTCTCATCAAATAATGTCTCATCATGAAGTCCAGCTGCTTGTGCCCACCAGAGGCACTGACTGAGATACTGCATTTCAGACAAATCCATGTCATCTGTAGCATGGATGAACTTTCTTACAGGGGAAGTTTCAGTGTGTGCAGCAGTGGCCACAGTCAGTATCTTTTGCCCTTTACAGATCTATTGACCCCTCCTGCCACGTACTGGCATCTGTTCAGTGGGGACCACTAAGTTTTAAGTCAGTAATGAGACAATGTGAATTTGAACAGCCACGCCTCTCCCCTCCCACAAAGCACAGCAGGGAAATTCCATGTCTGATTCCTTTCCTTTAGGACTGTCAATGGCAGGATACCAGCTCTGGTCACCATGGACCCCACTGGATGAGAGCTTCCAATGGCTGCGGCATACAACACCTACCCCTTGCTCCAAACACCCTTTTAGGGCCTCTCCTTGCTTCCCACACACCCCTTCTGACCTTGAGGTGCAGTTGTGCTTTCAAGAAGTCACTCTCGTCCTAGACAGCCCACTTGTGGCACCTGGAGAGAGCCCCAGGTTACCCCGTCACACCTCAGAGCTCCGAGCAGTGACTAACAAGAAAGGACTTGTGAGGAAGCCCCAGCCAGTCCGTCTCAAGGGAGTAGATTCTGTTTTCGGTAGAGTCATCACAGCCCAGCCACCCAAGTGGACTGGAACCTTCAGAGTTTCAGACAAGTCAGCCTTCTGCAAAATTATCAGCAGGGAACACCAGTGGCCCACTGGACTCAAGGAGCCTCAGATCCAGATGACAGTGACTATGTGCAAACAGATGCTCCGCTCCATCCTCCTGCTCTACTCGACGTACAAGAAGTGCACCTTTGCCCTGCAGCACTCCAAGTAGAGGGTCTCCATCTGACCCCTGTGCTCCACCCCATGCTCTCTGGTATGGACCAAAGCTTACACCGTAACATCATGCCAGCTGTATCGTCTCTCAGTCAAGCTGGGACAAGTATTCCTCCTCCCTTTCTCTTCAGAAACAGGACCAACCAATGATACTGAGCAAGGAAGAACATTTCCACTGTACAGCTGAATGGCCATTCAGTCAGCCTAATACTGACACATAGATGTGATAATGATTAAGCTACCATACAAACAAGCCAGCCTAGTGTGAACACACTCAAATGCCAAAGACAGCCGTGAACTGGCAAAGAAAAGGGATGCCAAGAAAAGACAAGTGTGGATGTCTGGGTACCAGAGGAAGAAGGGGTCAAAAATCTGTGTGTGGTTTAAGGACTAACTTAAAAACAGCTTTCCCTCCTCAAACAAATGTCAACAACAAGACATAACTTTAATACCAGTATGGGTAAAAAGAATAACAAATACTAAATAATCGTAATAGCACGGCAAGGAAGAGCTTGACAGCAGCCTTGAGACTGGGTTTTCTGGCAGAAGACAAGAGAATCCCCTGTTTTAGCTCCCGATGTTCTGTTTCTAATAAACTCTAATTATTTTGTATGATTCTTACAACTAGATTCTAGGCATAATTCAGAATAATGTGGAAATAAATACTATATATATATATACACAATGCCAGCAGATGTTTGATGATGTCTTTTCTTCCTTTGTTTTATACTAATAACCAAAAAATTTCAAAGCAAGCTGGTGTGGGGGCTGTAGCTAGAGCTTTCCTGCCTGGCCCACAGTCAGGGCAAATCTCTCTCACCTGCCAGTCCCACAGCCACTCAGACCCGACCAAGTAAACAGAGACTTATATTGGTTACAAACTGTATGACCGTGGCAGACTTCTTGCTAACTGTTCTTACCGCTTAAATTAATCCATTTCCATTAATCTATACCTTGCCACATGGCTCGTGGCTTACCGGCATCTTCACATGCTGTTTGTCATCGTGGCGGCTGGCAGTGTCTCTCTCAGCCTTCCACTTCTCAGCTTTATTCTCCTCCTTGTCCTGCCCATACTTCCTGCCTGGCCACTGGCCAATCAGTGATTTATTTATTGACCAATCACAGCAACACATTTGCCATACAGAACATCCCACAGCAGGGGGCTAAGCAGGTAAAGGTCTGGAATTCTGATTCCTGGAAGCCACGAGTTGGAGAGAGAACCCACTTCCAGCAGTTGTCCTCTGTGCTCCACATGTGCACCATAGCGCACATGTGCCTACACACACAAAAAAATGTTTAAAAATTCAAAAGGAGCCGGGCAGTGGTGGCACACACCTTTAATCCCATCACTTGGGAGGCAAAGGCAGGCGAACCTCTGCGAGTTTGAGGCCAGCCTGGTCTACAGAGTGAGTTCCAGGACGACAGCTAGGCTGTTACACAGAGAAACCTTGTCCAAAAAAAAAAAAAAATCAAAGTGGTGTTCAAGACCCTTCTGGCCAACAGAACAAATACCACAATAGCCAGCCAGGGTACAGAGAGACCCTGTCACAAAACAAAATAAAAACCCAACAAAAACCCAATTCAAAGGTAGTTGCGATGTTCTTTCTGACTTTCTGGGTCACTGACACAAGGCTCAAGTCACTCCTCCCAAAGGAAACAATACTTTTTAATGCTGTTTGCACCAGTATGATTGCACAACCTTGAGTAACGAGACACATCTAAAGTGAGGAGGAAGGTCTTGCCCCAGGGCAAAACTCAGAAAAGAATTTATTTCCTAAGTTTTAAAATTAGCCCCTGAAGGCTAGCCAGAGCATTTACTCTGCAGAAGCAGCATGGCCATATTTATCCAAACCACTGGCGGATGCTACATTGGAATCCTGAGCCAGGACCTGGATATTGGACAATCTGTGAAGTCCACTGCTCAGTTAAACAAAAACCCCTTCTTGAAGGAGAAACAGGAAGCTATGGTTGAAAAGGCAGAGAGCAGACTTCCATCCCCCAAAGAAAAGGGTAAGAGACTGCAGAGACGAGGAAGGGGCAGTTGTGTCCCCGGGGTCTAATCAGAGCTGTCCTCACTTTCATCACTATCTTGGTCCTTTTGTCCATCACTTGCTTCATCTTCCCCATCCTAAAGGATGAAGAGAAAAAAAAGTACTTGAGCCCAGTTTTTGCAACACAGCTCTCACAGATGTACACAACACCATTTTCTTTTCTTTCTTTTTTTTTTTAGTTTGTTTTTTCAAGACAAGGGTTTCTCTGTGTAATAACCCTGGCTGTTGTGAAACTCTCTATGTAGACCAGGCTAGCCGCTACCTTCTGAGTGCCAGGATTAAAGGTGAGTGCCACTTGCTGGGTGGTGGTGGTGGTGGTGGTGGTGGTGGTGGTGGTGGTGGTGTGGTGGTGCACACCTTTGATCCTGGCACTTGGGAAGCAGAGGCAGGCGGATCGCTGTGAGTTCGAGGCCAGCCTGGGCTACAGAGTGAGTTCCAGGAAAGGCTCCAAAGCTACACAGAGAAACCCTGTCTCAAAAAACAAACAAACAAACAAAAAAAAAGGTGTGCCACCACCACCCAGCCATTTCTGTTCTTAAAAGCAATGAAAATTTAAAAACCTTTGTAAGCTAAAGCAGAAGTCCCCTCCTGTTTTGTTTTTCTTTGTTTGTTTGTTTTGAGAAAAGATCTCATGTAGCTCAAAATCATCTCAAACTCATTATGTTGCCAAGAAGGACCTTGAGCTTGTGAGCCTCCTCCACCTCACAAGTGTTGGGATTACAGGCACATTCAACCATGCTCAGCTCTTTTTTTCTTTGTTTTCTGAGATGGGGTCTCATTATGTAGCCCTTGGCTAGACTCAAGCTCAGGAGACCAACCTCCTTCTGCCTCCTAAGTGCTAGGACTAAAGGCATGTGCTCGGCTCCCCTATAATTCTTGCCATGAACTATAAGCCATAGAGAAAGGTTTTTGTTTCGTTGAGACAGGGTCTTACTGTGCAGCCCTATCTGGCTCAAAACTTGCTATGTGGACCAGGCTGGCCTTGAACTAACAGAGATCCATCTGCCTCTATCCATAGTGCTATGATTAAAGATGTGAACCACCAGGGCTGGGGATTTAGCTCAGTGGTAGAGCGCTTGCCTAGCAAGCACAAGGCCCTGGGTTCGATCCTCAGCTCAAAAAAAAAAAAAAGATGTGAACCACCACATTCAGCCTGAGAGGTCATTTTGATACTGAATTATTTAAAAATGAACTAAATCTGCATGATCTTTAAATAAGCCAGAGCTTTCCAGCTGCTCTTCAGGCACAAAACACAGAAACAAAGTCACACTATCAATTCAATATAGAGCAAGGCTTAGTATGGTACAACTCTGTAGTCCCAAGATTCAGGAGATTAAGGCAGGAGGATTGTGAGTTCAAAGGCAGTCTGGGCTACATAGCAAGGCTCTGCATACACAAAAGGAACAAATAAACAAGCAAAATTGTATATGTATTGTGTGTGTAAAGCAATGGTTATTACAAGTACTGGGATATATCAACAGGAGTCCAGCATGAAACCGGTTTGCTCCTCTACAAGGACATGTTTTTGTACTGGAAGCATAGCATACTGACCACCTTGGATTCCTTATAAGAGCAAGAAGAGATCTATTATGGACTAAAATAGAGCCTACAGACTTCATAATGCACAGTCTTTCTGTGCACAGCTTTTAGCTAAACTGCCTGGTATCCAGAAAAGTGAACTGAGCAAAACTTTATGCACCTATTTTTATTTAGCTTATATTAAATTCACACAAGCATCTGTCCACAGAAAACGAGGACCTGTATTATTTTATTCCTCTGTAGTGGCAGCTTGACTCTAGGCTTCTGATTTATTTTAATTTTGTAAAAACAAGGTGAGGGGTTGGAGAGATGGATCAGTGTTAAGGGCACTGGATGCTCTTACAGAGGACCCAGGTTCAACTCCCAGCACCTACATGGTAGCTCACAACTCTAATTTCATTCCTGGAAGGGTGTGAGGGTGGGTTCAACAGGCCCTTCTGGCACCCACAGGCACCCCACATATGATGCAAAGAAAAACACGTGCAAAAAAATACACATACATATATAAAAAAAAAGCTGAAATGGCCAGGCATGGTGGTGCATGCCTTTAATCTCAACACTTGGGAGGCACAGACAGGCATATCTCTGCAAATTCAAAGCTAGCCTGGTTTACATAGTAAGTTCTAGGCCAGCCAGGCCTGCCAAAAAAAGTTGAAATGGTTTAAATTCATTTTTAACACAGAACATGCTGGTCTTTTCTCCCTTCTAAAACACATTTACATACAAGATCATGGAAAACAGGGCACTATATACTGGGAGAAAAACATCTACACTTTGTTTTTGGTACAGATGATTGAATGCACAAATATGTACATGCTAAGTACATGCTCTACCACTGAGATATAATTCCCCTTAAGTTGTAAACAAATTTTCAACACACCTTGAGAGATACTTGAGGGAGCCTCAGATAATGCAATTGTATTTTATGGATCCCAAAGCATTCATATAAGCTTTTTGTAGGGAATGGAGATGGGCACAGAAGTATTTAACAATAGACATACACAGAGAAAATTCTCTACTTTGTGCTAACAAAGAATACTTAATAAAATGCTCTACTAATACCATACTAGCCTGTGCAGATACCTTTGTTGCTCTGCTCCTGGAGACATGGGATGTTATGCCATCCTCACTGTCTTCTGAAGTGCTCTCTGGGGAAGAGGGATATTGGGAAACAATTTCTTCACCCTAAATGTAGAAGCAGAAGAAGAAATGGGGGGTTGTAATGAGCACATTTATGGTTTTGAGAAAGGCCAAGTTTCTAAGTATTAGAGAAGAAATATTCTAGCCATTCAAAATATATCAACTGGGCTGGAGAGATGGTTCAGAGGTTAAGAGCACTAGCTGCTCTTCCAGAGGTCTTGAGTTCAATTCCCAGCAACCACATGGTGGCTCACATCCACCTATAATGAGACCTGGTGGCCTCATCTGGCATGCAGGCATACACACAGGCAGAACATTGTATACATATAACTTTTTTAAAAAAGAAAAGTTTTCATAAGAATATTATAAAAACAAAAACATAACAACTTCTGATCTATCATTTAGGGAAACGCTGTTCAATTCCAGGTTTCTGAGATGCCCATGGAACTGATACATAATTCTATACAAGCTTCATTTTTTATATTCTCATTTATTCATTTATATTCTTCATTTTATATACTCACTCTGTAGACCAGGCTGGCTTCAAACCCACAGAGATCTGCCTGCCTCTGCCTCCTGAGTACTGGGATTAAAGGTATGCATCACCACTGCCACGCTAAATAGTATTTTGAAATTTTTTAACCTTTATTTTTACATCTATTATTGTTCTACCTGCATGTGTGTCTGTGTACCACATGCATGCAGGCCCATGGAGGCAAGTAGAGGGAGTTGGACCCCTGAACTAGAGTTACAGATAGTTGTAAACCACCAAGTAAGTGCTGGGAATTGAACCTGAGCCCTCTGAAAGAGTGGCCAGTGCTCTTAACTGTTGAGCTGTCTCTTTAGTCTTTTTTTTTTTTAATTTATTTATTTTTATTTCACGGTCATTGGTGTTTTTGCCATGGGTGTTGGGTCTCAGGAACTGGAGTTAC